TATATATATATATATATACATCTATATAAAATCTAGGGTTTAGGGTTTAGGGTTTAGGGTTTAGTGAGGACCTGCAAGCGGGGGTTTATGTACATAAGGGAGAAAATAGTTACATAAAAAGAAAGAAGGGGTGGGGGGCCTCGCAATAAAGGAGACAGTTGGGGGCCCCCCCCCTTCTGCTGTCTCCTCAGCAGCAGCTAGGGTTATGTCTTCTATGCTGTAGCAGCAACAGCAGCAGCAACAGCAGCAGCAGCAGCAGCAATTAAACACACAGCAGCAGCAGCAACAGCAGCAGCAGCAGCAGCAACATACGCAGCGCACGGGACTCTGCAGCAGCAGCAGCAGCTGCTGCTGCTGCAGCAACAGCAACAGCAGCAGCAACAGCATCAGCAGCAGCAGCAGCAGCAGCAGCAGCAGCAGGAGTTTACTTGTTTTGTATTCTTGCTGCTGGATGAATACTAAGAGAAGGGAGACAGCGCAAAGAAGAAAAAGATAAAGACAAACCCAACTCAGAAGGAGACAAAACAGAAGAGGAGACACGCACCTGTCCCTGTATAAATAAAAAGAGACAAAAGGAGACAAAAAGGAGACAAAGGGAGACAGAATGAAAGAAAAGGAGACAAAAGGAGACAAAAGGAGACAGAAGGAGACAAAAGGAGACAGAAGGAGACAGAGGGAGGCAGAAGGAGACAACAGGAGACAAAAGAGGAGACAAAGGGAGACAAAATAAAACAAAGGAGACAAAGAAAGAGACAAAAGGAGACAAAAGGAGATACAATACAACAAAGGAAAGAAAGAAAGATACAAAAGGAGACAAAAGGAGACAAAAGGAGACAAAAGGAGACAAAAGGAGACAAAAGGAGACAAAAGGAGACAGCCGCACAGGCAGCAAGCACGCTGCAGCAAATCGAAGACATCAGCATCCGCAGCAGCAACAGCAGCAGCAGCAACGGCAGCAGCAGCAACAGCAGCAGCAGAAGCAGCAACAGCAACAGCAGCAGCAGCAGGCAGCAGTAGCAACAGCAGCAGTAGCAACAGCAGCAGCAGCAACAGCATTAGCAGCAAAAGCAGCAT